CCCCACACCCCAAAATGGCCCTTCGACCCCCCCCCCCCCCCCCCGCTCCGATTTCACCTTGACCCACCCTCCCCGTAGACGTCCAAGCTGTGGGTGCGTGTTTGCTACCGCGGTCGAGAGGACGGCTGGGTCCTCACCGCCAACAAGCGAGGCCCAACCCTTGTCCCTTCGGAAGACCAAGCCTCCGCCGCGGGGGAGTTCGACGAGCAGGAGGCGGCCTTCGCAGCAAATGGCGGCGGGGCTCTACCGGAGGACCCGTCCGATAGACCCCTGACGGGCGCTAAGCCACCTCCGGCTGCCCCTACGGCGGCGACAGGAGCCAGCGAGGATCGACCGCTGACTGGCGGCGGGAAGGGTGCGTGGGTACCGCCGAGCGAGTTCCCACCGGGCCAAGAAGATGGACCTGTTAGCAGAGGCGACGGCGGGGACGCTCTTGTCAAGAAGGCATCGGCGGAAAGCGTCGTCGACGCACCGGGGCAGGGGAATGATTCGGCTGGGGATGAAGCTGTGTCTTCGGAGTACATGACGGCGTTGGGGTGAGTTTGATATCATCCGACAAGCTGATCGTCGTTCTGCCGGCCTTGCAAGTAATAGTCAAGACGTCCAGACGAAAGCGTTGTGGTTAAAGGGAGGGGACCGTGGCGTGGAAGGTTACCGTATATGACACAAGATAACACACCCCCTTGGCCGATTTTCAAAGCTCGATTTCTCAACAGCAGGAAGAGTCACAGCGCCGAAAACGGCGGCGTTGGAACCGTCTCGTGGAGAGCTGTTCGAAAACGTATTGTTTCATTTATGCATCCTCTTCGTCGTGGAGTAATCGAGCTTTGAAAATCGGTCCAGGGGGTGTGTTATCTTGTGTCATATACGGTAGGCCAGTCTCCCGGCATGGAGGGTGAGATCGCACAGTAGTTTTGCATGAACATCGCCCTGCCAGCCTTCGTCTTGTTTTTTTGGGTGTAAATGTAGGATACGTCCCCCCCCCTGACCTTTCATCGATACCACCCAACGAGATTGTTCTCCAGGCCAAAGTCGAACTTCGGTGTGGCTCAGGGACTGTTTTGACTTGTGCCTCACCCTGCGTAGATGTAACCCCTGATTTTGTTTGATGCTTCACAACAAGGTTCGTGAAAGTACGGGAAGAGGCGGACCCTTTCTCGATGGACCTGGGGAGCGTGAAGAAGGGAGATATCGTCAAGGTGCTGGAGGTACGTGCCAGGAGCATGAGGACCCCACATTGTGGAGCTGTCATTGTGCGGGAGTGTACCGAGTGTTACTGCTGTTGGGTTATCCCATTCCCCTGGATAAGTGTTGGCTGTGTGGAGCGCGTGTTTTGCGGCATCTTGGCGTGTTTCTTGGCTCACGGTCGTCGGCCGTTTTTTTTGTGCGTTGGACCTTATCGCAAGACGGCGATTTGTCCTGGAGGGGTTTGGTATAGTTGGACGATGTTCAGTGATTGATGCGAGCGAAGCGCTTGCGGTGGCATCGTCGAGTGTAGCAGCGCGCACGGCAAGAGCGTGAGGTATGCATCGTATCCAACAATGAAATGCGCCATCTAGCATGGGCCCGTTCATCTCCGTCATCTCCACTCTACGGTTTTGGTCGCAATGTTCTCTGCTGCTGCTGCTCCTCTTCAGGCATCGAAGCTGTGGGTGCGTGTGTGCTACCGCGGTCGAGAGGACGGCTGGGTCCTCACCGCCAACAAGCGAGGCCCAACCCTTGTCCCTTCGGAAGACCAAGACTCCGCCGCGGGGGAGTTCGACAAGCAGGAGGCGGCCTTCGCATCAAGTAGCGGCGAGGTTGTACCGGAGGATCCGTCCGACAGGCCCCTGACGGGCGCTAAGCCACCTCCCGCCGCGCCTACGTCGGCGATAGGAGACAGCGAGGATCGACCGTTGACTGGCGGCGGGAAGGGTGCGTGGGTACCGCCGAGCGAGTTCCCGCCGGGCGGAGAAGATGGACCTGTTGGTGGTGGCGACGACGGGGACGCTCTTGTCAAGAAGGCATCGGCGGAACGTGTCGTCGACGCAGCGGGGCAGGGGAATGATTCGGCTGGGGGTGAAGCTGTGTCTTCGGAGTACTTGACGGCGTTGGGGTGAGTTTGTTGTTGGTAATCGTTCTGCAGGCCTTGCAAGTAATAGTCCATAGCTCCAGACGAAAGGGTTGCGGTTCATGGGAGGGGATCGCGAGGTGAAGGCTAGACCAGTCTCGCGGCATGAAGGGTCAGTTCGCACAGCATTTCGTTTCATTGTTTCTTTGTTTTTTTAGTTTCTTTGTTTCTTTGTTAAGGGTGTAATTTTCTACCCAATCTCTCATCGACACCACCCAAAGAGATTGCTCTCCAGGCCAAAGTTCAATTTCTATTTGGCCCTGGGACTGTATTGACTCTTGCCTCGCCCTGCCTAGATATAACCCCTGATTTTGTTTAATACTTCACAACAAGGTTCGTGAAAGTACGGGAAGAGGCGGACCCTTTCTCGATGGACCTGGGGAGCGTGAAGAAGGGAGACGTCGTTAAGGTGCTGGAGGTACGTCCCAGGAGCATGAGGGCCTCACATTGTGGAGCTTTCATTGTGCGGGAGTGTACCGAGTGTTACTGCTGTTGCGTTATCCCATTCCCCGGGATAAGTGTTGGCTGTGTGGAGCGCGTGTTTTGCGGCATCTGGCGTGTTTCTTGGCTCGCTGTCGTCGGCCGTTTTTTTTGTGCGTTGGACCTTATCGCAAGACGGCGATTTGTCCTGGAGGGGTTTGGTATGGTTGGACGATGTTCAGTGATTGATGCGAGCGAAGCGCTTGCGGTGGCATCGTCGAGTGTAGCAGCGCGCACGGCAAGAGCGTGAGGTATGCATCGTATCCAACAATGAACTGCGCCATCTAGCATGGGCCTGTTCATCTCCGTCATCTCCACTCTACGGTTTTGGTCGCAATGTTCTCTGCTGCTGCTGCTCCTCTTCAGGCATCGAAGCTGTGGGTGCGTGTGTGCTACCGCGGTCGAGAGGACGGCTGGGTCCTCACCGCCAACAAGCGAGGCCCAACCCTTGTCCCTTCGGAAGACCAAGACTCCGCCGCGGGGGAGTTCGACAAGCAGGAGGCGGCCTTCGCATCAAGTAGCGGCGGGGTTGTACCGGAGGATCCCGCTGATAGACCCCTGACGGGCGCTAAGCCACCTCCCGCCGCGCCTGCGGCGGCGACAGGGGACAGCGAGGATCGACCGTTGACTGGTGGCGGGAAGGGTGCGTGGGTACCGCCGAGCGAGTTCCCGCCGGGCGGAGAAGATGGACCTGTTGGTGGTGGCGACGGCGGAGACGCTCTTGTCAAGAAGGCATCGGCAGGAAGTGTCGTCGACGCAGCGGGGCAGGGGAATGATTCGGCTGGGGGTGCAACTGTGTCTTCGGAGTACATGACGGCGTTGGGGTGAGTTTCCGATGGTTTGACTCGTTCCCCAGGCTTGGCCTGCGGAAGGCTCAATGCAAAGCTGGTATGGTTGCATGGGTAAGCTATTCGAAGGTTGCCATGCGGAGGTCGATGCTCCTTTCGCAGCGTGCACGATCACGTCACACAGCCTGCGGCATCAGAATCGCCCCCCGAAATACTCCTGTCGGGATCAGTCGGTGCCCTCCCCCAGCGGGCTCAAAACCTCTTTGCTCAAGAGCGCTGCCTGTGCATGCCGGACGAAATATTCTCAACCACAAACCCACTCGCGTGCTCATTGAGCCATACTTTTTTTTTTCGCTTTTTGGCCTTAACCTGCCCGTGTCATGCTCGTTCCGTCCGATGGTCCTGGTTGTGTAACCGCTGATTTGTTGAAAACGTTTGCAACAAGGTTCGTGAAAGTACGGGAAGAGGCGGACCCTTTCTCGATGGACCTGGGGAGCGTGAAGAGGGGAGACATCGTCAAGGTGCTGGAGGTACGTGCCGGCACGAAGCCACCTAGCCACCTTAAGCTGCGCTGCTGCTTTTACTGGCGTACACAGGGGACTGCAGATGCGTGGTGTTGCTTACTGCTGTGTGAAGTCGTCGATTCTCAGTGCTTCGTTGGGCTGGTAGCACCTTGTTTTTTTGTTGGGAGCACAAGTTTGGGACACCTGTGTGCACCTTGTGGGTAGGCCAGGATTTTTGTCCGAGAGGGGTTTTTACCCCGCGGTGCGGTGTTTGTTGAGTGACTCATGTGAATACCAAAGGTGAGTCATACAACATCACGGCCGCAAGAGGGTGGAATTCGCATACAAGGACGATTGACAGCATACTACATACCACAGCCGTATGCATCGCGATAGTTTTTTCATGGCGGTACTGCTCTAGGTCCTGATGTTTGCAGCAACAAATCCTCTTTTGTTTTTCCTTGGCAGACGTCTGAGCTGTGGGTGCGTGTGTGCTACCGCAGTCGAGAGGACGGCTGGGTCCTCACCGCCAACAAGCGAGGCCCAACCCTTGTCCCTTCGGAAGACCAAGACTCCGCCGCCGGGGAGTTCGACGCGCAGGAGGCGGCCTTCGCCAATTCCGCCGCAAATGACGCCGGGGCTGTACCGGAGGACCCGTCCGACAGACCCCTGACGGGCGCTAAGCCACCTCCCGCTGCACCTACGGCGGCATCGGGCAGCGTAGCTGGAGACGGCGATGAACGGGCATTGACTGGCGGCGGGAAGGGTGCGTGGGTACCGCCGAGCGAGTTCCCACCGGGCCAAGAAGATGGACCTGTTAGCAGTGGCGACGGCGGGGACGCTCTTGTGAAGAAGGCATCGGCAGGAAGTGTCGTCGACGCAGCGGGGCAGGGGAATGATTCGGCTGGGGATGAAGCTGTGTCTTCGGAATACATGACGGCGTTGGGGTGAGTTTGATATTCGACATGTTGATAGTCGTTCTGCCGGCCTTGCAAGTAATAGTCAAGACGTCCAGACGAAAGCGTTGTGGGTACAATGGTATGCCTGGCAGCCTTCCTCTTTTTAGGGTGTCAGTGTGAGGCTTTCTTCCTGATTTATCGTTGATACCACCCAAAGAGATTGTTCTCCAGGCCAAAGTCCAATATCGGTCTGGCTCAGGGACTGTTTTGACTCTTGCGCCTCCCTGCCTAGATGTATCCCATGCCCGTTCCTTCCGATAAATGTGGTTTGTAACCGCTGGTTTGCTAATAACGCTCACTGCAAGGTTCGTGAAAGTACGGGAAGAGGCGGACCCTTTCTCGATGGACCTAGGGAGCGTGAAGAAGGGGGACATCGTCAAGGTGCTGGAGGTACGTCCCAGGAGCATGAGGACCCCACATTGTGGAGCTGTTTGTTGCGTGGGAACGCACCAAGCGTCGCTTTCGGTTTTGTCCATTCCCCGGGATAGTGTTGGCTGTGTGACGCGTGTGTTCGGCAACATATGGCGTGTTTTTGGCTCACGGTTGTGGCGACTGTGTTGGTGTGTTGGACCTTGTCGCAAGACGGCGATTTTATCCTATTTCGAGGGGTTTGGTGTGGTGGGGTGTTGTTCAGTTGGAGCGCTGCAGCACACGGCAAGGGGGTGAGTTATCCGTCGTACCCAACAATGAAATGCACCATCTAGCGTTGGCCCGTTCATACCTATAATCTCCACTCTACGGTTTTGATTGTAATATCCAGCTGGTAATATCCTCTGGTGCTGCTGCTGCTGCTGCTGCTGCTGCTGCTGCTGCTGCTGCTGCTCCTCCTCCTCTGCAGACGTCCAAGCTGTGGGTGCGTGTGTGCTACCGCGGTCGAGAGGACGGCTGGGTCCTCACCGCCAACAAGCGAGGCCCGACCCTTGTCCCTTTGGAAGACCAAGCCTCCGCCGCAGGGGAGTTCCACAAGCAGGAGGCGGCCTTCGCCGCAAGTAGCGGCGGGGCTGTACCGGAGGATCCGTCCGACAGACCCCTGACGGGCGCCAAGCCACGTCCCGCTGCCCCTTCCGCGGCGATAGGAGGCAGCGAGGATCGACCGTTGACTGGCGGCGGGAAGGGTGCGTGGGTACCGCCGAGCGAGTTCCCACCGGGCCAAGAAGATGAACCAGCTTCGTCTGGTGGAAGTGGCCAAGTCGGGGATGACGCCTTCAGCGTGAAGCCGTCGGCAGGAGGGGGAGTTGACGCAGGGGGGCAGGCGGATGGTTCTGTTGAGGGTGAAGCTGTATCTCCGGAATACTTGACGGCGTTGGGGTGAGTTTGACTTCCGATAGGTAAATTCGTTCTACGCGTACCTTGAACTTGCCCTATTAGAGGTTTTGTCTCCCTCTGGATGTAGACCCAGCCCTGATGAGGACCAGAGTAGAGCTACTTGGGTAAACACAGCAGTGCAAGCGCTCCAGCTGATGCGGGCCGCGCGTTCGAGGCCACCGCACCATTTCTAGTGAATAGGGATACACGAGCCTCTTGATTGCTGCTTGGAGGTTTCCACGGTTCTCGTGGACCGGCCTGTGCCGTGCGGTTTATGAACAGGTTGTCGAGGTCACTCACACCCCCTGCTTGCTCACAATGTCGACACCGCCCCCCGCTGCTACCGGCTTTTATGCGCTCGCCACGTGTGGCGTTAATGGTTCTCGGGTGTTGACTCTGTTGCGGCAAGGTTCGTGAAAGTACGGGAAGAGGCGGACCCTTTCTCGATGGACCTGGGGAGCGTGAGGAAAGGGGATATCGTCAAGGTGCTGGAGGTACGTTTCATTCCAGACTTTCTCTCTGTTGCTTGTGGTGGGAAGTGGGACTGTTGTTGCCGTTGCGTGTGTGTTGCCGAGTTTTCGTTTGAACCTGATCTTGGTCACTGAAGGTTCTCCTATTGTTGGCCTCCTGCTCGAGGAATGCCGCCACCGAATTGTCGGGGGGAGGGATAGTTGTTTCGGATTTGTTGCGTAGGGCTTGTTACAGCAGGCTGTCCGTATGGGCGATCCCTGTGTGTCGCGCTCTAGATTGAGCAACGGATCGGCCTCGATGACAGCAGCAGTCAGACGTGCCACACCGAAGTTGAATCCTCTCGGCAATTTTACCCCGTTACGTTCCAGACGTCCAAGTTGTGGGTGCGTGTGTGCTACCGCGGTCGAGAGGACGGCTGGGTCCTCACCGCCAACAAGCGAGGCCCGACCCTTGTCCCTTCGGAAGACCAAGCCTCCGCCGCGAGGGAGTTCCACAAGCAGGAGGCGGCCTTCGCATCAAGTAGCGGCGGGACTCTACCGGAGGATCCCGCTGATAGACCCCTGACGGGTGCTAAGCCAAAGCCACCTCCCGCCGCGCCCACTGCGGCGACAGGGGACAGCGAGGATCGGCCGTTGACTGGCGGCGGGAAGGGTGCGTGGGTACCGCCGAGCGAGTTCCCGCCGGGCCAAGAAGATGGACCCGTTTCTTACGGTGGCGGCGGAGGTAGCACCGGGGGCGTCACGCCAGGGCCGGAGGACGAACGGCCATTGCGCGCGGCGCAGAAAGCGGAGGGCGAAGAGGGTGCTGCGAGTGGTGGAGCGGTGTCGGGGGGCGATGAGGTTCCCGTGGAGTACATGAAGGCGCTCGGGCAAGTATTACGGGAGGGGAGTCATGTAAATGCATGCCGTAGTTGTTAGACCTTGCATCCCTACAATGCCGGGACGGATTGAAATCGCCGGCCCAGGCTGCGTTTCACAAGGATTAGCCAGAAGCTGGTCGTCATCCTTGCTTTTGCTGTGCCAAAGAGGTGGGGGCTGTTTTGACCCGCTCTTTCACGTACTTGGAGAATGTGGAACGATTTTTATTTTATTTTGACCCTGTCCTCGACGTGCCGGGAGAACATGTGGAACTATTTTCGTGTGAATATCCCGCCAAGCGCCGAGGAGTACCGCGGCAACCGCTTGCCAGCTGTCGCTAGCAGGGGCTGGGGTGGTTGAACGCCAGAGCCAACTCTTGCCGAGCACACCTCTCAAGACACCCCGCAATCAGGACAATGCCGGCGCTGTTGCTGCTGTGCCCGTGTTCGGGGCGCCCTTCTGCTGCACGTTGATCTCACCGGTGCCTGCTGCTGGTTTGTGTCGTTTGCCCCGGTTCGGACGTGGCGCAGAGTGATCAAGCTTCGGGAAGAAGCGGACCCGTTCTCCATGGACCTTGGGGTGGTTCAGAAGGAGCACGTGGTCAAGGTGTTGGAGGTGGGCGTTCTCGGCGACAACGGCAGAGAGATAGGGGGGGCAGGCGCACATGCGCTGATGTGTTTGTGTTTACCTTGTCGCGTACAGGGGTTTGCGATGGTGTCTAACGTCCTATAAATTTTGGCAAGCTTGAGTAGTACCGCTCGGAAGGGAATTCTTCGTCTCTCTTGCCTTTTCTGGGGGTGCCTAGGGATGGATTGTTTGTGTTGTCGTGTGCTTGTTTGTTCCTCTGCTTGCTTGCTCGCCATATTCCGAGGGTTGTGCCGCCACCGCTTCGTGCTCTTGCTTGATGCTTGCCTGGCCATGACCCTTGCCTCGGATTACTCCTCCATTCATCGCAAGGAAGAATGATGGCCGGCTACTGCTTCGTCCTTCTGAAATGTAGCCTGGGCCGGCGAGAACCCGTCGTATCGCTCCGCCCCGGCGTTGTTGGAATGCGAGGTCAATGGCCTAACGACGACGGCATACAGTTACATGAGTACACCCCCCCCCTATACACCATCCGCGCGCTCCCCCAAGAAAAGAGCCCTTCTACTAAACTAAGTACGAGAAGGAATAACACCATTGGCCAAAAGTTGCGGTGCCGTTGTCGGAATATTGATGTTGTCTTTCCAGCAACTCGTTGTCATTTCGTACCGTGGGGGCTATCCCTGTCCTTGTCGGCGACCATAGATGAAGGACTTGTGGGCTCGAGTGGGGTACCGAGGCAAGACGGACGGCTGGGTGCTTACGGAGAACAAGAGAGGCAAGATGCTCACGGCTGCGGAGGACCAGGAAGAGGCGGAGGCGGCGTGGGCAGAACAGGTGCGTACGGTAACACCGGATAGGAGCTCTCTAATGGAGGGATGCGACATCAATTGGGGGGGGGTAATATCGAAAGAGGCGGAGAGATTGCACCCCTCCTAGACATTTTGCAGCGGCAAGGATCAGAATAGCGCACGAAGAAGAACGTGGTATGTGTTTATAAGATTGTTGTGTCTTCTCCGAGACTTGGGGGACGACCCTGCAATGCCCCGCCTGACCCGACCCCTCTCCGCTCTGCGATCTGCGGTGACCCTCGCCTCGACAGGAGCAAAACGCCTCGCAAGACGACGGGAACGACAACGTCCCACCGGCATCAAGGGACGACCGCCCGATCGGAGGGAAGCGGTCCACCCAGCTCGACGGGTTCGACCCAGGAGCAGACAGCGGGGGTCTGGAGACAACCGGGGCAGCCTCTTCATCTTCAGGAAACGGTGGCGGGGGGGTCCTCGACACTTCGAGCCAGGCGGCGGTGGGTACGGACGGGGGGCCAGCGGAGCCCCCGGCGGGCGGGCTCAAGCCGTGGCAGGGGCGAAGAAAAGTCGCGTCTTCTCGAAAGCCAGCGGCGGAACGAGGGGGAGAGGACCAGGCGGAAGCCGCCGCCGCCGCCGCGCCCCCCGCTAAGCCCTGGCAGAGAAGGGGCGCTGCGAAGTCTGATCCGCTTGCCGATGGTACGGAGGAGGCGGTACCAGCGGCGGCGCCCGCAAAGCCTTGGCAGACAAAGAAGGCCGGTGCCCTGCCGAAGGACTCGACTGCTGAGGTCGGTGGTAGTGCTGGTGACGAGGCGGGCGATTCCGCAGCGGCGGTGGAAGAAACCGCTGCTCCGGTCAAGCCTTGGCTTAAGAAGAAGCGGCCCGGTGGCGGCGATAGGGCCGGCGCCGTCCCCGACGGTGGTAGTAGCGACAAGCCGGGCGATAACGACGCCGTCGTAGCTAAGCCTTGGGAGGCGGATGCGAGGGCGGCGTCTGAGACGGTCGAGGAGGCTGCTGTGATGCCGGAAGGGGTTGGGCGGGGAGCGGGAGAGGGGGGTGTTAGTGCCGGCGGGGAGGATGGCCTCGCGGGACTGGAGGCGTGCCTGGAGGAGAGGGATTGGAAGAAGAGGGTGGCTGTGTTCGAGGTGGGTGTGTGTCGTTTGTCGGTCACGGCCAGGCCTGGCCCTGCATTCATGCCCCTGTAGCGCAAACTGGTTGCGTTTCTGTTTTCCCGTGCACAGTATGGCCCTCGTCTGCGCCTTCACTTGGTAGATCACACCATCGTGGTGTTAGTATTCCATCTATTCCGTGTAAATAGATGACCTTAAGTTTCACTTGATCGCCCTCCTGCTCATTTTTTCACCTCCCGTTGTATGACCTTCGTTTCACTTGGTCGACTACCCTCGTCATTGTTTTGGTATTCTCCCCCGCCCACTCGTGTTGCGAAAATGAGTTATCTTGATATACAACCCTCGTGGTTTCGTCTGTCATTTTCTTTTCTTCCCTGTTACGACCTTGATTTAGCGTGATCAACCGCCGTCGTGAAATTCAGTTGTTTTGTCCTGTTTTTAGGGCTTGCCTCCCACGGCCCTGATGCCCGTCCAGGATGCCCGCGCCTCTTGATTTGTTTCGCTGCAATTTCCCGCATCAAACACCCACAGCTGATTCTCTCATTTCCATTCCCTCGTTCGGACCTTTTCCGGACGTGCTGTTTTTTTGCAGGCGGCCTCCCTCGCCTGCCGGAGCCGCGTCGAAGGGGCCGCCGGCAAGGTAGGCCCGCTACTGCCGCGCATGCTCCAAGACAAGAATGTTCAGGTGAGATAGGCAACCATCTGTCTAGAGGCGACGCCGACCCTGCTGCTGTTTTCGTTTGGGGCAGCGGCTTGACCGCGGTACCACGTTTTCGGACCCGTTTCGTCGCGGCCGCTTCTGCTGCTGTAGGGGTCCTCGTTGTTGTTCTGCCTCTTGGCGCCGTCATGCACCGACCGCGTGACACGCGACTAGTTTGCGCTGTTGCCTCCCTTGCCTTGCACCCCATACCCCATAGTGCTCCGTGGCCCGTCCCTTCTCCCCATCCACCGCTCTCTGTCAACTCTGGCGCGGTCCTCCGTGCTCCATGGGCCACCGCTTCTACGTTTGCCGCCATCTATGTCTCCATCAACTCTTTTGCAATACTTCGTGCTAGACCGGCTGCTCCTCCTAAGCATGCCCCCATGCATTGCTCTCTATATCAACTATCGTGCATCCCTTTGTGCATAACCGACTGTCCCTCTTAAGCATGCCCCCATTTATCGCTCTCTATCAGCTCTCGTGCAGCCCTTCGTACTATTCCAGCCGCCCATCTTAAGCATGCCCCTATCCATCGCTCTCTCACAACTCTCGTCCAACCCTTGGTGCAACACGGACCGCCCATCCTAAGCAGGTCCCCCCACCCATCGCTCCCTATCGCGCAAACCTTCGTGCCACACCGGCCGCTCTTCCCGCCCCCCCACCTCACCCGTATCTCTATCAACTCCCTCGGACGCAGGCCGTAGACGCCGCGGTGGACACCCTGACGGCGTACCTCTCGCTACGGTCTACCATGGGCGCCGAAGAAGGCTCCTCCCTAGCCTCCGCCCTGGCCGAGCGCGCTCTGTGCTGCGGCCGCGCCCCCGTTGAGGCAAAAGCAGACGCCGCCGCCGCCACCCTGCTGGCCGGCGCCGGCGGCAGCGGCGGCCTCGCCCGCCGCGGGGCCTGGCTTGCCCTAGCGGCCCGCGCCGGCGGGCTTGAGAACGAGTTCTTCCCTCCCGGCGGGGAGGAGGGCGGGCGTGGGAGGAGTAAGGTGGCCGCGGCGGCGCCGAAGGCGGTGACCGGATGCGTGAGGGCTATGTCGGCGGGGATGGGGAAGGGCAGGACCGTCGTCGCTGGCGGGGGGGATTCCCGCAAGGAGGTACGGGTGTGTTCTTCGCGTAGGCTGACGTGGAAGGGCGGAGGTACGGTGTGTTGTTCGTGTAGATTGACGTGAAAGGAGGTTACAAAGTCAGGTCTAGTGCTTGGGCATGATCTCCAAGACTTGTTCTTCGAAGTACTTCGTGGTTGTTTTTCTCTCGATGGTGAGATTGACGTCTTTCCAATTCCATCCGACCACTGCTGTCGCGGTTTTTCTCACAGTTGCCCCTCGCCTCTTCAAAAACATTTTGGGTGTGTAGACCTTGCAGGTCACTTGGATGGTTTGGACCCTCCCACCGTCAGTGACTGACAGCACCGTTCCTCCATGTCAGCAAGGCGAAGGTCGTTTCCATTCGTTTCTTACGATGATGACGACATGTCCGTTCTGGCAATCCTGCCGTCCCGCAGGTGTACTCAGCGGCGAAGGCTATGCTGGGAAGCTCGAAGCTGCCCGTGAAGATGGCAGGCATTTCCCTCTCGGGTGCTCTCTACGCTGCGGAAGGGGACGTCGCCAGGGATGACCTTGGGGTGGAGGGCATGGAGGCTCGTATCAAATCTCAGGTATGGCGTTTTTGTCCACCAGGTTTTCGTTGTTTTTCTAAGCCCACAGAGCGCGGAGACCGGAATGGATTCGTTTGTTTTGAAGACGGCAGCAACAATAGCATCACGGTCGTGCTTTTGCGTCGGTACATGCAGCAGCAGGAGGCCTACTTCTGCAAGACTCTGGGACAAACGCTAGGTGCGCGTTCATTTATCGCTGTTGCTCTACATGGTCAGAAAAAGCCTTTTGAGGGGTTTCGCGACGTTCCCTTGGGCTGGCGGTACTCTTGTGCTGAACGTTCTTCATCAGACAATATCCCCCCTTGCAAGGATGATGGCCAGATTTTGGTTCATTTTTGTGAAACGTACCCCGCACCGGCGAAATCCCGGCATATCCCTCCTCCGTCCCGGCATTGTAGTTCTGCGAGGTCAAACGACTACGGCATGCGTTTCCGTGACCACACCCCCACCTCTGCTTTTTTCCAACTTGTCCGTCGGGGATGCAGCTCGAAAGGTCCTTCGCCGATGCAGCGGCAGCAGCAGCAGTTGGCAGCGGTAACAACTCACCCGTCGCAAAGGAGCCCTTGGCTGTGCCCGATTCGCCGCCGATACGCCCGCCAGCGACACCCACGCCGGCCGGCGGCAGCGGCAGCGGCAGCGGCGCGATCGACCTCCTCAGCGACGACGATGACAGTCTCGAGCTCCTCACACCGCCGCCTCCGGCCTCGAGGGTGCCGGAACAACGCTTGGCCGAACCGCGGGTGGGCGGCGGCGGCGGCGGCGGCGGCGGCGGCGGCGGCGGTGTCGACACCGGTGATGAAGGCATCGCACCGCTAGGAGGCAACGAGCCAGCGGAGGCGGCGAAGTCGGGTGTACCCGAGTCGGCCGTCGACGACGAGCTGTGGTCGGAAGACGACGATGAAGAGGACTGGGGGGGAAGGGGAGGGCTCGCGAGCGACGACGACTACAAGGACAGAGCGGCGGCGGACACAGCGGCGGCGGCGGCGGCGGCGGCGGCGGCGGGCGGCACGGCCGTCAAGAGCGGCGGCGTAAACGACAACGACGACGACGACCTGCTTGACGGCCTGTCGGCTGATCTCCCAGATCTCCGAATCACCGCCTCCCCTTCCGAGGAAGATGGCTCGCGAGCAGCGCCGCCGGGGGGGGCGGGCGAAGTCGGGAGGGCGAAGACGCGGCTTGGACTGGCCGAGAGACTGTCGTCGGAACGCGGCCTTGCTGCTGCTGCTGCTGCTGCTGCTGCTGCTGCTGCTGCTGCGGAGACTCCCAGGCGGTTGTCTACCCCGGGGTACCGGGGGTCGGGGAAGAAACGTGGTGTCCGTACGTCTGTTGAGAGGGAGACGCAGTTCTTGGGGACTCAGATGTGAGTGCGCTCTCTCTGATGAAGGTATTTGGCGACGAATGTGTTGGGCAGCGGTGCGCTCTTTTTGATGAACGTTTTCGACGACGACTTGTTGAGGCAGCGGTGAAGTCGGTCGCTGTGAGACTGCTGTTGGAAGGGCTGTCGGCCTGCGTTCGTTCCAGAAGCCGATCGGGCTGTTGACTGGGAAAAGGCCGAGTGAAGGATGAGCGTCTAAACACGCCCACACACGCTCTCGAGAAACCGAATCATGGCGAAAGTCTTGGTCGCCCCGTGGCAAGTCACCCAGATATTTTGGATTCCGCTCTGGTGACATAACTTGTGGGGGTGGTTTCGGTGGAACGCCAAAATGCAGAAAATGAGACGATTGCTTATTTTGTTTTCGAGGGGTAGAGCTCCGTCCTAATTACGTCTCACGCTGAACCACCGCGAAGAATGGCAGCGGCTGAAACCGCCGTTACGATTCCACGCGACAGCGTGCACAGATTGTGCTACCGTAGTCCAAAAGAATATTAAACCTGTTTTTGGTAATGATATTGAGTAAATAGTTTTTGTTTCTATGGATACTCATACTTTTCAGCCCCCGCACTGGTTGGTGCAAGTTACTGTGTACAAGTGTAGTCCTCTAAGCGCCAAAGCCAACGTGGACATCGCCCTCCGGTCTGTCGCCCGTCCCCCCAACACCAGGCTGGCCCTTCCGGAAGGCGAAAGAAGTGCGTGGGACGACATCCTTGACGACATGCTTCTCAAGGCTCCCCCGGCAGATCCCCTCCGGTGGAGCCAGCACAGGCTGTCCGTGGACGGGGCTCCGGGGATCGTCGGGCCGGGGGGGGGGAGTGCCCCTCACGGTGCCCGGCCGGACGAGGAAGACGCGCTCAAGCTGATGCCTCCGCCGCCTCCTGCGGTCTCCTCCTCCCTGGCTTCGGGTGCCTCGTCGTCGGCATCATCGGTACTGCTTCGGCCGGACAGCCTGCGGAGCGTCGGCGACGATGACGGCGCGGGAAGCGGGCGAGGCTCGTTGGGGTTCGAGGTCGGCAGCGACAGCGACGACCGGAGGAGGATGAGCTGGAGGGAGGAGCGGCGGCGGCAGCTGCAGCCGCCGCCGCCGCCGCTGGAGGCGGCGCCGTTGTCGCTGCCGGAGTCGTTGCCGGCGTCTTTTGGACGCGGGGAAGAGGACGGGACCGTTGGAACAACGGCTGAGTCTAGGCCTTCGTGGAACGAACAACAACAACAGCAACGCCAGGAGATGCTCGCCGTGCGTGCCTCCGCGGACGAGTCCGTTCGAGAGCGGATGGCCAGGCTCAACGCCCGGCGGCGACAATCGCGACAAGCGCCAACGCCACGGACGGGGGAGGAGCCCCTGCAGAAGGCTCCCGCGGACGGTGCCATGGACGACGGAGAGGGCGGGGCGGCGGCAAACGTTGTCGCGACAAACGTTGTCGCGACGGCCGGGAGGCGGCACTTGCTGCGCGGGCCCGGGTCGTGGACGAGCGGCATCGGCAGCGGCAGCGGGCCCGGGGGGGTAAGGTCCCCTAGGCTCTCGCGGACCGGCCACGGCGGCGGCGGCGGCGGCGGCGGCGGCAGCAACAGCCTCGGCAGCCCGTCCTCCAGCTCCAATTTGGTGGTCACGCAGGAGGCTCTGGGAAACCTTAACAACAACCTGGCCTCGCTCATGTCCGCCAAGCGCCAGGTGTCCACCTCCGAGAACCGCGAGAGCCGGAGGCAGTCGATATCCCGCCGCCTGTCGCGGGGAGCGTCCGTTGGAACGCTCCGCGCGACGGCGGTGGCCACGGAGGCGGCGGAACTAGGAGCAGCGGAGGAGGCCGAAGCGGTGGCTCTGGGGGCGTCGCCGGCGGCGGCGAGAGCGGCCGCGGAGGCCGCCGCTGCGGAGACCATAGCGGCCCGACGTCGAGCCCTCGAGGCGAGGCGAGCCAGCCGGAGGAGCCGGGGCGGCGATGCACCGGGGGGATCTGCGGCAGCGCTCAGGGAGTTCCAAGACGAAGGCGTCGTCGACGTTTCGCCCGCCGCTCGCGGGGAGGGCGGCGGTGGCGGCCGGCTGGGAAGCATCCTCCCGGCGGACACGGTGCTGGAGAGCGAGGAGGAGTCGTACGCTACCCCCCGGGGAGGGAGGGGCAGCTCCGAGAGCGTCGCTTCGAGTAGCAGCGCCGGGGGGAGGTGGGGCCAGGGCGGGGAGTCGTCTTCGGCGGCGGCGGCGGGTCACGAGACATCTCGAGGGCGTGGTGGGTCGGGTTTCTTCGGCCAGCAGGGGTCAGATCCGTACAGGAGGAAGGGGCGGTACTCTACCATTTCGACCCCGGTAAGCTTGGCTTGTGTAAGGGGCCGCGGAGCAGCAATCGATGCTGCATTCTTGCTCGATTGACGCTTGCTTGTTTCGAGTCGCGCAATTTTGTTGCCGACACCCTCTGGCGCACGTCTTGTGATCCTGGCGCCCCATGTCCTTGGCGTTGCTTGTGTCTTTCTAATTAGCATCTACGGCTAACCGGCTGACCACAGGAACTACGTCAGTCTCAGTGCAACTAAAAAAACGGAAAGCTCTTCTGACTTCTGGGACCTCGTGTCATCGTGGAAGCTAGAGTACTGTTCGGATGTCTGGGTGTGTGTGTGTCTTTACTATTAGCATCGACCGCGCTACGTATCCGGTTGACCCATGTTTTGTTTTTGTGTTTTTTGTGCGCGTTATTTGTAATGACAGAACGACACCCCGGCAGACACCCCGGTCGATTCGCCGCGGTCCGGAAGCGACTCAGACGCCGCGTACGACAGCCTGCGGGGGGTCCTGGGCAAGGTCTCCCTCAGCAAATACTTCAAGGAGTTCCGACGTCGAGAGGTCCGGTTGGACGACCTGCAGCACCTCACCGAGGGAGACTTGACGGAGGCGAGTGGGGGGTGTACGACGCGCACTCAACTTGCCGTTTTTCGAGCCACTGGGGGAAGAGCAAGCGGTATTGTAACGATATTTACGGTTCAACTTGTAAGGATAAGCTTTTCTCAGCGATGGGTTACCGCGCATCAGCGCATGCGTGCGTGAAGAAGCCTTCCCGCACACCGCTGCGCACGCCGAATGCATGAATGCTCAAGAGGGTCGCGTCTGTTTTGGCTCGGCCCCCCTCAACTCCGCCCTGCTGTCTCGGCGGACTTTGACGAGTTCGTTTGTCTTAACAGCACCAAGTTGTTGCCGAACGCTCGCTGCCGGTCCCGGAAAAGTGCCAGATTATTTTTTTTTTGTCACTCGTTTAACCTCTTCCGCCACCACACCCGGTCCCGCTGGAAACTTGTGGGCGAACAGATGGGGATGCCGGTCGGCCCCCGAAAACGTCTCCTTGTGGAGGTCCACGGCGTCGCCACCCCGGTTCGAACGCCGGTGGCCGGTACTCCAATGCCGCCGCCGCCGCCTTACCACGTTGCGGCAGCCGTTGTTCCGCCCGCAGTGTCGCCGTCATCGCCGCCGCCGCCGCCGCCGCCGCCTCAGGCGCAGCAGCAGCAGCAGGAGCCGCCGCTAAAGGCCGCCGTACGTTCCCCGCGGCAATCGTAACCGGGGGGGGCGAGGACTGCGATGTTTTCGCCCCCCAAGAAAGCGGGA